CATTTTTTGGGGAGGCATTGCACTGCACACATTGTGAATCATTTATAAATTTTCCTCGATGATAATTGAACGTGCATTTATCATTCATCTGATTAAGATTTCATTTTCTATATTTGTCAAGGTTTTGGATAACATCTTGCTCTTATTTCATGATGAAGTTTCCATGTGATGGTAATACAGAGAGTTAAGATCCGAAATGAAATCCCACGACTGATTAAGATGTCAGCAGAAACCTTATTTACAAATACCTAGAGACCTAGGACCATTAGTGGTGTCAAAATCAAATCTGTTCACTAACCATGGGAAACACAATTTACTCGTTAAACTGATCGGTTTACAATGGGAAATTAATCAACCCCAATACCACATATTGTTATGAACACGCAGATTAGAAGATTAATTAGGTAATTAGATTCATTTACGATGGTCGCTGTAAGACAATGGGTCCTTAAATAGTTGTTAGAATTCAATCTAAAGACGCTGAACGGTTTTAGCTTGTAATCCTGTTATCCTCTGTGAAACGAGATTCTATATCATCTACTCCAAATTTGGGTTTCAGCCACGTCTTACATTGTTCAGTTTATTGCAGCAAAGTTACTTAATGATTATTAAAAGTTATTAAACTATGAGATGATATTAATGACAATATAAAGAGTAATACTGTACATTCGTGAAAAAAACTACTGACACTGAACAATTGTTGCTCCACCTCTGGCTTTTTTTTTATAACTCATATTTAAACACGATAAAAAAGCTGAATTATAAATTTAATTATCTTGAGATGAAGAATATTCCTACATATTCCTACATATTCCTACATATTCCTACATAACAAGAATGGCGGTGTCCAAAAAATCATTTTACAGTCAATTTATCTATGTTATAGTGTGTCTACGCTGTAGATTACCCGGTACGGCAATTTCTAATTCTATGCACAAAAAAACAGCTTTTTGTAGCGATTACCCTGGTAATAAATAGATTGATCTTAAATAGCCTGCACACTGATATCTCAAAGGTCGAGATCACAGCTATTAATATCTGGGCAGACCATTTCATTAAACATAGCTTATATAGATATAGATATATATACATTTTCTATAGCTTATAACTGAAGTTATATCAATCTTAGTCTCTTGCCCATTCTTTCATCTTCGTGTATTCATAGGGGCGGTTAACTGATAACTTAATGTTTTTATCATTTAACTTATAACTTTGTAGCTGAAATACAGGGCTCACAATTTTATAGAAACATTAAGGAGACCAACATCATTTACTCCTCATGAACATACACTCACGGCTCCAGCATTAAACACGTGTAATCACGATTGGGAGACTACATGCCCACAAAAGTACGTGTTCTTAAACACATGTTTAAGTTCACTGTTCAAGTTCAGTGACCAGTAATATGTGCTAGCTTTGAGAGTTGAACACGGTTTTTCTAGAAATACACCCTGCAATTATACACGCTGCAGCTGTTTTCTTCCGATTGGCTGACTCACATCACGTGATAAGAATACTGTAACCTGATTGGACGGTTGGGCCGTGGTTTTTAGCACTAAGTACATCAGAAAGCCTGCAATTGGCTGAGACCCTGCTTGGATGTGGGGTGTTAGTTGCGTGATTGGCTAGTTAACTGGTTTATTTCCTCTGTAGCCTGGGCCAGGAAGTTGAAATAAATAACATACAAGCCCTACATCAAAACTGGTTCACCACGTGGGCATACTCGAGCCTAGCACGTGGGCATACTCGAGCCTAGTGATTGGTTCTCATTGTTCACGTGACCAGGTGCATGGCTGTGGAAGCGGCAGTGTTATATCTCTCGGTGCAATCACACAGACTGATTCTCATAGAGCACCGTCACGACGTGATCTAATTCGAGCTGTCTGATTGGTGGAGACGACGTGAGGAGACACGTGATTGGATGAGAGCTGTGTATAATGAGAGAGGTGGAGCGGAGGAATCAGGTAGCTGTAATGGCCGTCTGGCTGGAGAATCTTCCAGAACACACGCAATAACCAGTCTACAACCATTATGTAGGACACACCGCCACACGCCTAGCTGCGTTAAGATACATATCAAGCCTGTAGCTGATCACAGTTACTACTCCTCTAGCTGTGTGATATAGTATAGCCACGCCTGTTATAGCTCTGTGTGATTAAGTATAGCCACGACTGTTATAGCTGTGTGTGATATAGTATAGCCACGACTGTTATAGCTGTGTGTGATATAGTATAGCCACAACTGTTATAGCTGTGTGATATAGTATAGCCACGACTGTTATAGCTGTGTGTGATATAGTATAGCCACGACTGTTATAGCTGTGTGTGATATAGTATAGCCACGACTGTTATAGCTGTGTGTGATATAGTATAGCCACGACTGTTATAGCTGTGTGTGATATAGTATAGCCACAACTGTTATAGCTGTGTGATATAGTATAGCCACGACTGTTTTAGCTGTGTGTGATATAGTATAGCCACGACTGTTATAGCTGTGTGTGATATAGCATAGCCACAACTGTTATAGCTGTGTGATATAGGATAGCCACGACTGTTATAGCTGTGTGTGATATAGTATAGCCACGACTGTTATAGCTGTGTGTGATATAGTATAGCCACGACTGTTATAGCTGTGTGTGATATAGTATAGCCACGACTGTTATAGCTGTGTGTGATATAGTATAGCCACAACTGTTATAGCTGTGTGTGATATAGTATAGCCACGACTGTTATAGCTGTGTGTGATATAGTATAGCCACGACTGTTATAGCTGTGTGTGATATAGTATAGCCACGACTGTTATAGCTGTGTGTGATATAGTATAGCCACGACTGTTATAGCTGTGTGTGATATAGTATAGCCACGACTGTTATAGCTGTGTGTGATATAGTATAGCCACGACTGTTATAGCTGTGTGAGTTATAGTATAGCCACGACTGTTATAGCTGTGTGTGATATAGTATAGCCACGACTGTTATAGCTGTGTGATAAAGTATAGCCACGACTGTTATAGCTGTGTGATATAGTATAGCCACGACTGTTATAGCTGTGTGTGATATAGTATAGCCACGACTGTTATCGCTGTGTGTGATATAGTATAGCCACGACTGTTATAGCTGTGTGTGATATAGTATAGCCACGACTGTTATAGCTGTGTGTGATATAGTATAGCCACGACTGTTATAGCTGTGTGTGATATAGTATAGCCACGACTGTTATAGCTGTGTGTGATATAGTATAGCCACGACTGTTATAGCTGTGTGTGATATAGTATAGCCACGACTGTTATAGCTGTGTGTGATATAGTATAGCCACGACTGTTATAGCTGTGTGTGATATAGTATAGCCACGACTGTTATAGCTGTGTGATATAGTATAGCCACGACTGTTATAGCTGTGTGATATAGTATAGCCACGCCTGTTATAGCTGTGTGTGATATAGTATAGCCACGACTGTTATAGCTGTGTGTGATATAGTATAGCCACGACTGTTATAGCTGTGTGATATAGTATAGCCACGCCTGTTATAGCTGTGTGTGATATAGTATAGCCACGACTGTTATATCTGTGTGATATAGTATAGCCACGACTGTTATAGCTGTGTGATATAGTATAGCCACGCCTGTTATAGCTGTGTGTGATATAGTATAGCCACGACTGTTATAGCTGTGTGTGATATAGTATAGCCACGACTGTTATAGCTGTGTGATATAGTATAGCCACGCCTGTTATAGCTGTGTGTGATATAGTATAGCCACGCCTGTTATAGCTGTGTGTGATATAGTATAGCCACGACTGTTATAGCTGTGTGTGATATAGTATAGCCACGCCTGTTATAGCTGTGTGATATAGTATAGCCACGACTGTAGATGTTTGTGAAAATCTAACCACGCCCGTGTGATGTAAAACGAATGTGGTTAGGGACGCTTGCTAACTTCAGGTTAATACAGCTCGTAAAACTAGCTTGAGCCCGCAAGCATGGCCAGGATAACGTTTAAACGTTATTAATATAATATATTATGTTTTTTTACATATTATATTGTATTTTTTAGTACATTTAACATGATAAAATGTTATAATTATATTACATTTTACTTGAACTACCACATTATCAATCTAACGAATAATGCTACATTTTAAGAAAGCTTACACCCATAAAACTCATCACAGTAACATTCACTCATCAAATTGTTAGACTTAGTGCGCTATACTACCACACTCCAACAAATTACACGTCCATATAGCGACACATAACACTATAACCAGTGTTAAAGTTACAACTTGTACATATTATTATGACATTGTATATTATCATATATTATACATAATATATTATGCGCATAAATTATAACTCCGAACTCACATTGTCACGACTACAGTTTTACACATAGCTACTAAATTTTACACACAACTGTTGGTCACCAAGTGGCAGATTGTTTTATTTGACTGAGCAAAAAACCGCTTACCATCAGTTTATCGTGTGGCCAGGTTACATCTGATGAAAATCCAGCTTCCACTTTTAACAAACGAGCCCAATTCCTTTTTGGTTTAACTGCAGTTGCAGTCTCTAACTGCAGTTGCAGTCTCTATAATGTTGCAGGATACTAAACAGCGATGCAAATATATACAGAGTCAGTGATGAACCCGCTAACCAGTTTTATAAATTTTAATTAAAGTTGAGAATTTTTGTTTTCGATCACTTAACTTTGATGTGGTAGTACTGGTTGTAATTACTCTTAGAGATCGAGACGTGAATTTGTATCTTCATTTAAAATGTTATCAATTTTATTATTTTCCCTACGATCGTTTCCAAATTTTTTGAGTGATTAATTTATTAATTAACGTTTCACAACATAACATTGTGTAAACTATGTATTATTACTCGCAGACCCTTGTATATTGACAGTGTTGTGAATAAGGAAAAACTATTCAAACTATTCATATTTCATTGCCAACAGAGCTTTGAATTTAAATAAACTATGTGAACTATTCGGTACTCACAGAGCTATGAAGAACTTTTCTCTGGTGAACTGATAATGCAGGAGTTTGGAGCGCTGGAAATACTCGAACACTATCGCCAACAACCACTGAGATGGTACATTTAACTGTAAGTTTTCCTTCGCATGTATAAAAATAAATTCTAAATATAATACCCATGATACTAAACTATACGCAGTGCAGGTATGTAACTTATAATTATTTAAAGTTTAATACATGCTTGTCTACCTTGTCACAGACTTGGTTGTGTCTGTCGCACTGTAGCAAGACTTGGATCAGCTGGTCCGTGCCTGGGAAACAACATTTAGAACTTTCCAGAAACCACAATTTAGAACTTTCCAGAAACCACAATTTAGAACTTTCCAGATAATTTAGAACATTCCAGACGACGGTTAAAACTAAATAGCTCACTATAACCGAAAGGTAACAGTTTCACAGACTTACTGATAATAATAATATAATGTTATCACTTATCTTAGATCAAAATATCTCGCTGATCAGAGATCATGTAAACTCAAAGATCATGTAAACTAAAAATAACTCACTGATCAAGGTAAGGAATTTCTGCATGGTATCGTAGAGGGAAGTGTTGATGTTAGGGGAAGGGGTTTGATGGAGGGTAAGATGAGGAAGCGTAGCATTCACCATGGTGACCAGAGCGTGGTTTTAACACGTTTCTTCGGGGTGCGTTTAGCGAGTAGGCTGAAATGGAGGTATTGTTAGGAAGCATAATGGATGCATTGTTAGGAAGCATAATGGATTATTGGGTATAAGGGGGATGAGAAGGAGGGGGTGATCTTGCTATACGAAAAAGAAATAACAACCGAACAGTTGGTTAAAGCTGGTCATGTTAGAGTCAAATAGTCTACTTAGATAAATATGAGTGGGGATTATTCGAGAAAAAGGGTCCTATGTCATTTAACTATTGACAGTTAAAACTGTCAAAGAAGCAACCTGTTGAATTATCATAAGTTTAATACTCACGTCTTACATCACTACGAGTTAAACAAGATATTATATTTAATACAAATATATTATTGGTCGGGTTACAATAACACAAAACTGTAACAAAGTAACAAAACAGCAACAACAATTCGGAAAGAAACTATCAGAGCAACACTATAAATAAATCAATAATGGATAATACTTGAAGCTGTTCAAAGCAGTGACACATAAAACAGTCTAGTTTCTAAAAAAGGGCACTAAAATGAGAGATGAGGGCACCTCTCACTATCCCCAAATTAACCTCATTAGACAGAAAGAAGCACTTGGAGTCAGTTATCATGTAATCAGTGTCATAGTGGGGTCAACCTAATTAGCTGTTAGCAGAGGTCAAGACACCTAATTGGGTTGAAAAGAACGACAAGTAATAATGGTCCAGTGATCACTCGTGTAATAAGTAGGGTCAAATTGCCTCAGAATAATGGCCTATGAAGAAAGTGTGATGGTTACAGGTTAGTACAGTCAAATTTTTGTGGTCTAGTTAGTTGATATGAGACGAGCATTCAGCTTTGTCTCTTATATAGATGATTACAGAAAAGTGTTCTAGATGTCAGATGACTCTTCAAAACAGTGTTTAAAGAAATAAAGCCTCAGAACGTAGCCGTCAGACAAAATTACCAACATCGATCTGACTAATTGATAATTTATAATAATTCAACCAATCAATTTAATTAACGATTTAATTACCTTCACCAGGATGAATATAGCCAACAAGCGATGCGATGCACGTGGGGTAAACTAGCAGGCAGTCATTGTATCGCACCAGAACTCGTGAGTGCAGCTAACGGTGGTTGCTGGTGGTACCTGCACTCGTTCTTAAACCGACATATCACCCTGGTTAAAGTGAATTTGGTTAATTATTACTTCATCCTGATTCTATAATGATTGAAGAATTGATGTAAGAATGATATGATGTAATTTGATTAAGTAAAATAAATAAATAGTTACATCACTTATCAATAATAGTTAATTAAACTCAAATATTAATTTTTATCCTAGATTCATTTAATAAATTAATAAGTTAAGAAGACGTATTGTTATTTTCTATTTAAAGATATTGAGACATTAAAATGCAAAACGCAAAAAATAGGCTCTCACGAAATGCAGACATGAAAACCTATAAGTAAGATTTTTTATTTTAAGAACTGTTTAAGCAAAGTGCTAAAGGTAATAATGCTCCAACAAGCCTTTTGGCTTTCATCATATTTCTAAAGAAATGCTCTTTTTTGTTAAGATATTAGATAACCAAAGTTTTAGTCACAAAACGAGTTTGAAAATATAGACCAAGGAAACATATAAATTCTTTAATTTAATATATATTTAACATCTATGACCCAATTTCATGTTTGTATTGTATTGTTTAAGATCTGACATGGTATCGAAACAGCAGACAGTGATGAAACCTAGATATCATTTGTTGAGTAGTTTCGGGTAATAAATGAATAACGTGAAGTAAAGCTATTTATTTCACACTATTAAAAGTTTCAATAACAGTAAGGTGTTACATGCTGCTACAACCCACACATGAGAAGGTACCAGGTAAAGTTAGAGAGGTTTCGTTTCCAGACTACATCAAAAACCTTAGAATTGAGCTCAAACAATTAAAGATCTTTAATATACATTTAGTTAGTCAGTTAACTGACATATCATTATCATGTACATCTTTCAATTCACATGCTAGGAGGAAATGTATCAGTTGAATTTTAAATATATCACCTCTAGCTCTGATACGTTCTAAAACCATTGTCATGAGTTAAGTCATTATAATGTATCTATAGCAGATTGAGACAGTTTAGAGCATTTCCCTGATATCTGGAGCTGTAAATCCCAATAATGGGAGTCCAACAAACATTGATAAAGTCTCACACTGTACCACGTTTATTCATTTCGAAAGAATATCAGATGTTCTGATGTTTCACCGAAGCACTGAGACTGAAGTGTGTTTGGAGTGTAAAATCCCAGGGGCAGGGCGGCTACCCTGTGAAGGTATTATTTTAAAGTCATTGTTATCGATTTCACCAGGCCCAAAGGAGACTACTAGATCAAAGTCGATACCACCATCATTGGCAGTCAAATCTTCAATCTTCATTATATACTGTCTGTTGGCCAGAGTGGTATCAAGTATTGGGGGGGGGGGGTTCTCTACAGTTTTTTAACCACTTTAAAGGTATGTTTTACCTTTGAAAATGTACTATTTGAAGACTGATTGGATAAGAATAGTAAAAAAGAAGATTTTTAGAATTTAGTTAGTGTATTTAAAAGTGTAAAATAGTGTAAAAAGTGTACCTTTTTACTACACTTTTTACTACACCATAGCATAGGCCAAAAAAGGCAAAAATGTAGTGTAAGATCAAGACTGTATATCTAATCTTCCTCCGAGTTATCCAATCGGTCCAACAGAAACAGGGGAGAACGCCTTACTGTCTCCTGATAGACATAGCTACCTTCAATGAAGATTTTTCGCAGTCGAGCACTCGATCATGTTTAATGAAAACAAATTTCTTGTCACTAGAAAAATGACTTCAATACAAAAACAAAATCATGATCAGTGAAAATTTGTTTGAAACGGTCGATTTACTCCTCATGCAATGACTACTTCATTTGAAACTACTAAAATTTTGTAAGGAAAATGGCTTCTTTATGAATGAGGGTCCTCTTGAAGATAAGCTAACGGGGCCACTCACCATCCTCACAAAGATTCGACCTCTGTTGCGCTTGGGATTCCACCCCTTGAGATATCCTACAAGATTGTCACTATACAATTTATAATAAAGGCACTTACAAGTGACCCATTTAAGCAAGGGCTCATATTGCAGCTAGAGGAGGCAAAGGCCCACCGATACCAGCACCATATTGACGAGATACGTAATGTTCTAACGTGGAAAAATGGGTCCAACGAACTAAACAGAAGCAAAATAGACCTTCTGACCTTCTTTTCTTTGTAAAGAACAAAATGTCAAACAGTACTAGTGTCCAGAACGGTGCTGTCAGCTACTCAAAAGAAGAAATAACCCGCTTCATGGACTTTACTTGGATAAACATATCCTGCTGAACCCCAGAATAAATCAGAGTGAGGGTCAGATACTGGATAACATTCATGAAAGAAGAAAAAATTATTTCCTCGCTACTCAAGCAGAAGCACAGACACGAAGGTTATGTCTCGTTCAACATTTATTTGCGATATTCATAACATAACACCCCTGCGCATGCAATTTTGGACAGAAATTCGTCAGGTTGCGAACATTTTGGGGATATATGAGAATGACAGTTCTGTCCCTTAAAGGATTTTGCAATAGTGTTTAAAAAAATAAAACATAAAATTATGTCATCCGAGCATTAGTGAAGTTCCTAATGAAATCAAATCAAGACTCCAAACACGTACTATGTTCAAGGCCAGTGGCAGTATACATATTATAATATTATTATTAAATCTAAAATAGCTAATAATTTAATAAATTATTAACAGGCCCCTTAACGTGGGCAATAATATACGCTTTATAAATTATATAAACAAATTGAAGTCTATTTTCCAATGTTGTTAAGTGTCTCTTTAGATCTGTTTTGGTCTTTCGTGGGAGTTCCCACATTTGTTGGTTGAGAATGCTCAACATAACATACATGATGTTAGAATCTTAATTCTATTTGTAGCTTGTTTTTGTACTTCATATTACTAACCCTGTATCTCACTTTAGCAAAGGTTTAGTTCCAGTGATTGTATATACAGTGTTGGGGTAAAGGGACTCCAGAAGGCAGACAAGGCTCGACTCCAGACTCTAGTTGAAGTAACAGAAGAGAGAGGAGTGTCCAGTGTTTAGTTGACTCCAGACTCTAGCGAAGCAGAAGGGAGAGGAGTGACGTTGTCGACTCCAGACTCTAGCGTAGCAGAAGGGAGAGGAGTGACGTTGTTTTAGTGATCCCACAGATTCCAGTCGACAGATACTATCTGTGTTCTGTGACGTGGAAAGAGTGGTAAGTAGTTTATAGTTATAGTTTAGTAGTTTAGTCTAGGAGTTCCCGCTTCCTCTTTCACTTTTATTTATAGTTTCACGTGGATTACCTTTCACTTTACTCACGGTAGTTTTCCCCCAGGGTTTTTTATTATAGTTATCAGTTCCAGTTTAGTTGAAGTCCTCATCATTCAGAAGTCCCTCATATAGTAAGAAGAACATCATCATCAGAGTAGTAGTTTTAATTTAATAGTTGTTTAATCTAATAGTAAAAAGACATTATTTAGTTTAGAATTGATTTGTGTATTAGTTAGAGCAGTGTGAGTAACTGAGTCACACCAATCACCTTTTAATCACTCATTCACTATTTGAGGGTGAGTACATAGAGTAACAAGGTTACATTTGAAACACCATTTATTTGTATAACCTCTTTATTCATCTAATTTGTATTTATAATAATTGAGTATTATTTGTTATTTAATTAACCCAAGAACAGGGTTCCAACACATGATGCTTGACTGCTTTATTGACCGGGACAGGCACCGGGGGCAGACATCCCAACACCAGTGCGTTGGGACATAGTGTTGGTCTGCTTCAGGACGTGTTAGATCCTAGAGAAGCCGCCATCCCCTCTACTGCTTTAGCTCAGCGGCAGCATGAGCCCTGGTTTCCTGCCACATTGGTACCTCTGAAAGAACAGAAAAGTGGTGGATTTCGGGGTCCAGGATACTCCCTCTTTGTTCTTTATGGTGGTAATATTTCTCTGAGATGTTTGCAGAGTCTTTATTTCATGATGATATTTCATGATGATATTATAATAAAACTCATGTTCATACATCATAACGATTTATTGTTATTTGGTGTAAGCACAAACTAAAACTATTTGATACCCAGTCTTACAGCATAGCATAATATATGAAATACAAATCAAGTATTTCATACTTTAAATTGTCTACATCCTAATTCAAAGCCTAACTTTACGGTTAAAAATAAAAGCGAAGGTAAGATAAGTTAATTACCAAATATCGACATTCGACACGGTACATATTTGATTCCTTTCCTTAAATTTAATCATGATATGAAGATACGGACCACATTAAAATCACAATATAACATCATCTGCATCGATGAGTTGCAAATTAGCAGCTTGGTGCAGCGCTCAATACCAAATTATAAATTTTAAATCTGCAATAATTTGCAAAAATCAAAATTTAACTTGTTTATGCATAATATATAATGAGGATAATTATTTTACATCAAACATAAAAATAAATACTTTAGCCAATCACCTAAATAATGTAAAAGTGTTTTACTTAATGTAAAACGATTATAAAATTTTGGTATGTGATCAAACATTACAAAATGAACTGATGCAATTATTGTCGATTTTGTAAATTGTATTAATTATTATATATTGTGTAAATTTATATGTGATTATATTTAACAATAGTCAATTAATTAAACAGATTTAGCTTTAAATTTTGTAAATATTTGAACAGCTAAATTTTTGACGGATGTTACTCGTCTAACTTTCTTCGAAGTATAGTAGCGCGCGCCGCTTTCTTCTTGATGGCACGAGCTACGAAGTATAGCGCGCGCCAGGCCAGATAATTAACAATGGTCAACTAAATTTGTATGATATTTATTACATTTAATATATTTGTATAATATTTATCATTTTGCATTTATATGTTATAGCTATATATATTGTATACCGGCGGCTCGCGCTACAGTTATATTCTCGTTGTAGATTTACGTTTATTAATTGATTGACGATGTCAATCCTTTACTTCCAGATCGTTGCTCTGCGAATTAAGAAAGCAACGATCTCGTCAGATATCTTCGATGCGAAGTAAAAATTATAGTTTGCGCGGCGCGTCAAAGCGTCGAAGTCCTCCAAGTTTATACATTATAACAATTATCAAAACAAGTACAAGTTGAACTCGTTGATGGTTCTTTGGAATACATATTTTACGAGTATTATATCACCTTGCTGAAACCAGAGCCCTCTCGCTTGCAGTAGCGCGCGACCGCCGAATGGTGAAACTTGACCATTGTTAATGATTTGGCCCGGCGCGCGCTACTTCGTAGCTCGTGCCGTCGGTAACATTTCGAGAAGAAAGCGGCGCGCGCTACTTCGAAGAAATTTAGAAGAGTAACATCCGTCAAGGTGAAACCAGTGCGAACCACGCTGTATGCGTAAACAGTAGACTCATGACTATGTAAACACATCACCCGTTAATATTTGTGACTCTTCGCAGCGCTTTTATTTGCCCGAGGTCATTTGCCGGCCCGGAGTTAAGTCGTGTGCTAAGCTATAAAATTTTAAAATTAAAACTTCTTGGTACCACTTTATTGACGATGTCAATTCATGGCAGCTCGGCGCGGCACATTAGCGCATTTTGCCGATCTAGCCAGAGTAACGCATCGGGCCATTTCGAAAAGAAAGCGGCGCGCGCTATTTCGAAAAAATTTAGAAATTTAGACGAGTAACATCCGTCAAAGCATTATACTGATTACGGGGCCGCGCTCAGCCTGTCATTCCGCCGAATCTTATAATATAATAGCGTGAGGTCCCCAGGTAATCAAAGCACCGCCGGCCAGTAAATAAAATTGCTCTAACCAGTAACCAGAGCCTTTGTGAAATAAGCGCGCCCGCAGTTGCGCGAAAGCACATGCATGGTTAAATTATGCGAATAAATAAACGTTACTGCATACTGTCTTATTCATTATTTCTCCGTGAAAAGCACAATATTTGATATATAAGCGTGTGCCTCGGAAGTGATCTTAAAGTTAAACGTTCAATTTTGGTCACGGTCAGTACACGTCAACTTTGAACTTAGTGCAGAATCAAGCAAGTTATAGACAAATTTCAACCACATCAAATTGAATGTGCTTTCGGTGGAGATATAACCTGCGCCTAAATTAGGCGGTGCACGATAAAAATAAACTTGCTCGGATTTTCAAAATGTTTGTACCATCGTTTTCTAGAGACTGTGAGAATTTTCACAGTACCAAATTTATCATACCTTTTTGGAATGATCAGTGAGTTTCGCCTAGGTGCCATATTTGATGGTGCGCGGCTTTTGGAGCAAAATTAGGTGTAAAAGTCGCGTAATTTGACGAAATTCGTTGATTTTTGTCGTATTATTCTGTCATATCTTTGGTTCCTGAACATGAATCATGCTGAAAATTTGTCAGAACCTTCCAATCATACTTAACTACCGAACCTAATTTAGTTGGGAGAGATTGGCCTTGACTAAAAGGTCTAAAAATGACAAAATAGGTATAAATTCGTTGATAACTCAAATTCTGAGCATCGAAATTGCTCAAACTAAATTAGGTTCAGTAAAACATAAGTGTTTACGTAAGCTGACCAAATTTCAACAAAATTGTTATATGGGAAGTATTATAACTTTTCGCTTGTTTCCAAAATATTGTGCTGGCCGAAATAAGAGCTAAAAAACCATTCAATGGTCAGCGCGCGCGTCTTATTGTCGATGGCGCACTGCCTACCTAAATAAAATGCTATGTTATTAACTATTGTTATTGATTTAGATTCTGTACAGTGTAGTCGAGCCCGCATATAATTATAATGATCACTGATCATCGTATTTCTGATAAATCGTATTATTGCGGTACTGTCTATATAATATATCAGGAATCTGCCAAAAACAAATGAAACGCGTATCTCATACTTGTAACTCTAACAGTTGAATAAAAACTCAAATAAAATACATGAAAAAATCGAAAACTGAAGATTCGATACTTCTAGTTCAATTTTATAGGCCAGAACTCAAAGCATAAAAAGAAAAACAAACACTTCTCTACTCTCTAGTATAGATGAGGCGATACTAAAAACTGTCTATCGACGATTATGGGTATATAAGAAGTATATTAATAATCAAACAATCATAACTAAGCATATTCATTGCGGAAATGATAACGATGGTTTAGTCACTAAAAATGACACATTTTGATACGGAAGAACTGACCCCAACAAGAATAAAAGACAATTACAATCAGTACACATTTTTAAATCAGGTAATCCTTTTCAAACAAAAATAAGTTTTATAAGTATAAAATGTGAACTTTTCAACGGCCTAGCCGATTTTCGATGTTTTGCCGGCAAATTTTACATGATTACGGTAAAATACGATGATTTTACTAACATTTTCGTGAGCCATTTGCAATGAACTAAAATATTGTAATTGAACTGCATACTCCGATGCAATCAAAGTCCTGAATGGAGGGACGATTCAGTCCTACAGAATTAAAAATAATATTGTGAATCACTATTATATATGATAAACTAATATGTAATATAAACTGCGTTAAAAATCAAACATGCCAAAAAGCAAGGTGATTTTGTGGCATTTAGAGACATTTAACCATAATAAGAAAATAAAATGCTATAAAAACTTATTATTCCTCAAAGTTTTTCATGAAAGTAAATGTACAGTAAAAATGTCAGAAAGAATTTCCACACTTTACAATTTCATTATAAATTGTTCATTCAAAAACGTAAATTTAAATATTGCAGAGTTCAAGAAGAATTCAAGATAGCATAATTGAAATTGGGGAGGGGGCTACAACGACTGCGAGTTACAATTTTTTCTTTACTTTTTGGATATTTGTTGGTACAAAGTATGGTAGAGAAATATAAATTACAATGCGCCCATAACAACGGGACCCCTAGCATGCTTGTTCGATCATAACTTCTTGACGTAATTCTCCCAGGAAATAATTTCCTGTTCCCTCAGTTTTACCAATCATTTTCAGTTAATTTTATCACTAAAATAATAGTCCTTGCAGCTCCCCATAATATACAAAACTTGGATATCATATTCGAAAAGAGATGCTAAATTTCTCGAGCAAGGAAAGTAACAAAATACTAATATTCTAGAAATCATTTCGTCCTTTAGTAATCTCTTCATGATACATCATTTCGAATGAAGATTCAGATTTCAGTGGTTTGACAATATCAATCCGTTGGATGATCTTATCCAGCTAGAATACGGCGCTTCTTTTGATCACGTGATGGTAACTCCAGACCCGGACCCTTTTATCCCTTGAAACAAGCGAACAAGACAAACTTTTGTTTGACAAAGTAAATTCCTAACTCCAACACCTTTCAGACGGCTTCCTGAAATCATCAGTAGTTATGATTATTGTTCCAATCACTTAATTTTAAAACTACATTTTTCAGTTCAACAAAGAATAAAACTATAGATACAAAAACGTTAAAACGATCTGCTTGAATCCAATAGACGACTCAAACCCCATTCCCAACAGTAATCAACATATTATGGAACATTAAGGGTGGTTGCGAGGGGTAATCATTCCGAAATGTGCTTTGTCAATTATTCAGCACAACCTAGTGGCTATAAACGCGTCCTCTTCAATCAGGCGTGAGGCATCAAAAACACTTATTCCCATGGTGCTTGATCATACTGTCTACAACAGGTAAAATACTGAAAACACGTTGCAGCAGGCTAGCGGCAGCAGTATGGCAGCAAAACGCTGAAATCGTAAAGAGGCTTTGCGGCAGAAATAAGCATGCGCAAAGAGGCTTTGCGGCAGAAATAAGCACGCGCAAAGAGGCTTTGCGGCAGATATAAGCCCGTGGTCGTACATGAAAAGAGCATAAAGCAGCTTGGTTTTATGGTAAGAAACACAATTTTCAATGATAAGAAACAGGGGGACTTGAATCATATCCCAACCAAACATGGATATACGTATATCGCATTATCGTAGGTGTAATTTGCAAATGTGTGGCAGTAGAAAGAACAGAGAAAGGCGGGAAGGAAGACCTAGAGAGTGCAGAGAGGTAGTGTAATCAGAAGAGATCAGCAACGAGGGACACCTTGACCGTGTTTCATGCTACCACGGTTACCATGGTCACCACGGTTCACGTTTAAAGCGCTGTCCCGTGAAATAGTTACATTATGAGGTAAAGTAGACGGCTCCACCGTGTACTCATTTTCGACCATGGACCCCGCGGCGGGTTGTCCGTCATCGGGCTGGCGATAATCACGCGGAGAGTTACAAGAGTCATGTGACCCAGCACCACCGCCGTGCTCACGTACAGGAGTGTGGGGCAGCGAGGAGGGGTGGTGGTTGTTGCTTGGGGTGGTGGTGGGAGGTGGTTCCAGGGTCTGGAGCCGCAGTGTTAGGTTTAGGTCTGTTTCGTATAGACTCTCTATGTGGACATAGTCCTGGGAGCGTGGAGATGGTTAATAATGGGTAACTAATTAATCAATTATTTAATTTAACCGGTTCAATTAACAAATCAGTTGATATGTCTCATAGCTATATTTTGGAAGGAGCTATCCATTTGCGTTCATTTATAACGTTTATAAACGATAATAATTATCATCCTAAAAACTTCTCAGGTTTACAATAATTGATCATGGTAGACGGTCAGATAGTCCGTTACAATACTATACAATACTATACAATACTATACAATACTATACAATACTATACAATACTATACAATACTATACAATACTATACAATACTATACAATACTATACAATACTATACAATACTATACAATACTATACAAAACTATACAATACTATACAATACTATACAATACTATACAATAATATACAATACTATACAATACTATACAATACAATACTATACAATACTATACAATACTATACAATACTATACAATACTATACAATACTATACAATACTATACAATACTATACAATACTATACAATACTATACAATACTATACAATACTATACTATACAATACTATACAATACAATACTATACAATACTATACAATAATATACAATACTATACAATACTATACAATACAATACTATACAATACTATACAATACTATACAATACTATACAATACTATACAATACTATACAATACTATACAATACTGACCCTGGTCATTAGGAAAGTTCGCACGAGATGGACCACATTTTCCCATTTTAACTTTAGAAGATTGTCACAGGAAGAACTTTTAAGATAGGCATATGATATTTCATATATCTATAGTTCAACTAATCTTGTTTCGATTAACAAAAGTTTTGAAGCATTTAGTCGAGGGCAAATTGAGGCTAACGAGTCATTTACATTTTGTCTCCTAATAACACCTTCCAAGCATACTATAAAAGCTTAAACATGTTTAATCGATTCATCAGATCTCACTCTTTCAGAATCCAGAGAGAAGAGGGAAATTTTTTCACTAATTGAGGGAAAAATGAGGCTAACAAGTTATTACTAATTTTTGAATTATTTTTGAATAATAGTGTCTATCAAAGTATCCTCTGACCTAAAATAGATGAGATTGATGCTCTAGATCGAAGGCTTGCCCAACCGACCCCTTGTTTTCTTCTAATGGAGGGTAAAGTGAGGCTAACAGATTATTTTTAATTTTGAAATTATATTTGAATAATAACGTCTATCAAGGTATCCTCTGACCTAAATTACATGAGATGGATGCTCTAAGTTGAAGGCTGGCCCAGCCAACCCCTTTTTTCCTTCTAATGGAGGGGGAAATGAGGCTAACAAGTCATTACTAAGTTGTGAATTATATTTGAATAATAACGTATCCAAGTATCCTCTGACCTAAAATACATGATATGGATTCTTTAGGTTGAAAGCTGGCCCAGCCGACCCCTTTTTTCCTTCTAATGGAGGGGGAAATGAGGCTAACAAATCTTTTCTAATTTTTGAATTATGTTTGAACAATAACGTCCTTTAAACTATCCTTTGCCCTGGTATACATGAGATGGATGCTCTAGGTCGAAGGCTGGCCCACCCATTTCCTTCTAATGGAGGGTAAAATGAGGCTAACAGATCTTTTCTGATTTTTGAATTATGTTTGAACAATAACGTCCTTTAAACTATCCTTTGCCCTGGTATACATTATATGGATACTTTAGGTCGATGGTAGACTCCACCTACCCTTTCTGTCTTTTGATGGAGGGTAAAATAAGGCTAACTATCAAGGTTGTGTTCATTGCATTTCTTGTTCTACTGCTTCTTCGGACTAGCCCTTCAATTTCAAATTGTTTCTGCCTAACCTGTATTCATTTGAGAGGTAAGATTGAGGCTAACTCCTGCTTATTGTAATATTTTATAAGTGATAGTTTTAATGTTGGATGCTTTTATTTTCTTTATATAACTCCACTTTTGACCCTTTTGAAAGCCACTTATTATTTTCAAAATCGCACATTTCAAAACTAATTGCACTGCTTTTTTTGAGCCTTCTCGCCAGTTGTACTACCATGAAGAGGTATTGATTTAAATATTGGAGTTATTCTGCAGCTTGACGTAGAATTTTATTCATTAATGCATTAATCAGCTTACATTAAAGCTTGTGGAAAAATGTATATTTATAATTTGTTTAAAAATATTTCCTTGCGTTTGAGATGTGTCAAGCAAAATAAAGACTTCCCTTGTAAAATTTCTCAAACAGTTCCATTTTTATTATACTTTATAGTTTAGAGTCTAATTTGGCATGATATCAGATCATGTGGTATTACATGGCCCCATGGGTAGCATTGCCAGAGCAATTGGCCAGAGAGCTCCATAGAAGTAAGGGGCCTACTCTAGCCAACAGCTCTAGAATACATTTCCTTCCTCAACTTCATTTTCTTCATCTAACTGCTGCTGCTGCTCAGCAACTACTTGACAGCTGGCACAGTGACGTTTTTCTGCGTAGTGTATCTGTTAGCCTCAATTTTGCCTCAAGGAGGGAAGGTAGCCTCAATCCAACCTCACATAAGTTTCGATAAAGTCTCAATAACCTTCGGGCTACAATTACAAGTTTTATAGTGGGTCTATAACATGTTTCCGTACATTAAAGTTAAAATGCGGTCAAATTCTTTATTAGCCTCATTTTAGCCTCCTACAAGTAGACTCGGCGATTTCTGAAATGTTAAGCTTGAAGAGGATGAATACATTTTTATTGTTGACATATTAGATAGTCACAATACCGAACCATCTCGAAAATATACACAAAAGTATACTTGTTAGCCTCATTTCACCCTCTCAAAAGGTGGTTAGCCTCATTTTCACCTCGAATAATTAAAGCTTAGATCTCGATCAAGTATAATCACTATGGATTATACTTGCAACTTGGATATCATGGACGTAACACGAGAATGTTCTTTTTTGAAAATAATGAGTAAATTCGTTAGCCTCAATTGTCCCTCGCAGTTCAATCACTCCTACTGAGTCTTGTGAGTGAGCTAGGAGGTCGCCGGACATCTCATTTTTAAGCCGTATTAATTTTCTATACGCATACAAAAAATTAAATGCAAAACTAAAACAGAAAAGAAATTACGGATGTTTTACATTTTTTTTCAAAAACGAACTTTTAGGGGTGTTTCTAATGATCAGGGTCTACTGTACAATACTATACAATACTATACAATACTATACAATACTATACAATACTATACAATACTATACAATACTATACAATACTATACAATACTATACAATACTATACAATACTATACAATACTATACAATGCTATACAATGTTATACAATGCTATACAATACTATACAATACTATACAATACTATACAATACTATACAATACTATACAATACTATACAATACTATACAATACTATACAATACTATACAATACTATACAATACTATACAATACTATACAATACTATACAATACTATACAATACTATACAATACTATACAATACTATACAATACTATACAATACTATACAATACTATACAATACTATACAATACTATACAATACTATACAATACTATACAATACTATACAATACTATACTATACAATACTATACAATACAATACTATACAATACTATACAATAATATACAATACTATACAATACTATACAATACAATACTATACAATACTATACAATACTATACAATACTATACAATACTATACAATACTATACAATACTATACAATACTGACCCTGGTCATTAGGAAAGTTCGCACGAGATGGACCACATTTTCCCATTTTAACTTTAGAAGATTGTCACAGGAAGAACTTTTAAGATAGGCATATGATATTTCATATATCTATAGTTCAACTAATCTTGTTTCGATTAACAAAAGTTTTGAAGCATTTAGTCGAGGGCAAATTGAGGCTAACGAGTCATTTACATTTTGTCTCCTAATAACACCTTCCAAGCATACTATAAAAGCTTAAACATGTTTAATCGATTCATCAGATCTCACTCTTTCAGAATCCAGAGAGAAGAGGGAAATTTTTTCACTAATTGAGGGAAAAATGAGGCTAACAAGTTATTACTAATTTTTGAATTATTTTTGAATAATAGTGTCTATCAAAGTATCCTCTGACCTAAAATAGATGAGATTGATGCTCTAGATCGAAGGCTTGCCCAACCGACCCCTTGTTTTCTTCTAATGGAGGGTAAAGTGAGGCTAACAGATTATTTTTAATTTTGAAATTATATTTGAATAATAACGTCTATCAAGGTATCCTCTGACCTAAATTACATGAGATGGATGCTCTAAGTTGAAGGCTGGCCCAGCCAACCCCTTTTTTCCTTCTAATGGAGGGGGAAATGAGGCTAACAAGTCATTACTAAGTTGTGAATTATATTTGAATAATAACGTATCCAAGTATCCTCTGACCTAAAATACATGATATGGATTCTTTAGGTTGAAAGCTGGCCCAGCCGACCCCTTTTTTCCTTCTAATGGAGGGGGAAATGAGGCTAACAAATCTTTTCTAATTTTTGAATTATGTTTGAACAATAACGTCCTTTAAACTATCCTTTGCCCTGGTATACATGAGATGGATGCTCTAGGTCGAAGGCTGGCCCACCCATTTCCTTCTAATGGAGGGTAAAATGAGGCTAACAGATCTTTTCTGATTTTTGAATTATGTTTGAACAATAACGTCCTTTAAACTATCCTTTGCCCTGGTATACATTATATGGATACTTTAGGTCGATGGTAGACTCCACCTACCCTTTCTGTCTTTTGATGGAGGGTAAAATAAGGCTAACTATCAAGGTTGTGTTCATTGCATTTCTTGTTCTACTGCTTCTTCGGACTAGCCCTTCAATTTCAAATTGTTTCTGCCTAACCTGTATTCATTTGAGAGGTAAGATTGAGGCTAACTCCTGCTTATTGTAATATTTTATAAGTGATAGTTTTAATGTTGGATGCTTTTATTTTCTTTATATAACTCCACTTTTGACCCTTTTGAAAGCCACTTATTATTTTCAAAATCGCACATTTCAAAACTAATTGCACTGCTTTTTTTGAGCCTTCTCGCCAGTTGTACTACCATGAAGAGGTATTGATTTAAATATTGGAGTTATTCTGCAGCTTGACGTAGAATTTTATTCATTAATGCATTAATCAGCTTACATTAAAGCTTGTGGAAAAATGTATATTTATAATTTGTTTAAAAATATTTCCTTGCGTTTGAGATGTGTCAAGCAAAATAAAGACTTCCCTTGTAAAATTTCTCAAACAGTTCCATTTTTATTATACTTTATAGTTTAGAGTCTAATTTGGCATGATATCAGATCATGTGGTATTACATGGCCCCATGGGTAGCATTGCCAGAGCAATTGGCCAGAGAGCTCCATAGAAGTAAGGGGCCTACTCTAGCCAACAGCTCTAGAATACATTTCCTTCCTCAACTTCATTTTCTTCATCTAACTGCTGCTGCTGCTCAGCAACTACTTGACAGCTGGCACAGTGACGTTTTTCTGCGTAGTGTATCTGTTAGCCTCAATTTTGCCTCAAGGAGGGAAGGTAGCCTCAATCCAACCTCACATAAGTTTCGATAAAGTCTCAATAACCTTCGGGCTACAATTACAAGTTTTATAGTGGGTCTATAACATGTTTCCGTACATTAAAGTTAAAATGCGGTCAAATTCTTTATTAGCCTCATTTTAGCCTCCTACAAGTAGACTCGGCGATTTCTGAAATGTTAAGCTTGAAGAGGATGAATACATTTTTATTGTTGACATATTAGATAGTCACAATACCGAACCATCTCGAAAATATACACAAAAGTATACTTGTTAGCCTCATTTCACCCTCTCAAAAGGTGGTTAGCCTCATTTTCACCTCGAATAATTAAAGCTTAGATCTCGATCAAGTATAATCACTATGGATTATACTTGCAACTTGGATATCATGGACGTAACACGAGAATGTTCTTTTTTGAAAATAATGAGTAAATTCGTTAGCCTCAATTGTCCCTCGCAGTTCAATCACTCCTACTGAGTCTTGTGAGTGAGCTAGGAGGTCGCCGGACATCTCATTTTTAAGCCGTATTAATTTTCTATACGCATACAAAAAATTAAATGCAAAACTAAAACAGAAAAGAAATTACGGATGTTTTACATTTTTTTTCAAAAACGAACTTTTAGGGGTGTTTCTAATGATCAGGGTCTACTATACAATACTATACAATACTATACAATACTATACAATACTATACAATACTATACAATACTATACAATACTATACAATACTATACAATACTATACAATACTATACAATACTATACAATACTATACAATGCTATACAATGTTATACAATGCTATACAATACTATACAATACTATACAATACTATACAATACTATACAATACTATACAATACTATACAATACTATACAATACTATACAATACTATACAATACTATACAATACTATACAATACTATACAATACTATACAATACTATACAATACTATACAATACTATACAATACTATACAATACTATACAATACTATACAATACTATACAATACTATACAATACTATACAATACTATACAATACTATACAATACTATACAATACTATACTATACAATACTATACAATACAATACTATACAATACTATACAATAATATACAATACTATACAATACTATACAATACAATACTATACAATACTATACAATACTATACAATACTATACAATACTATACAATACTATACAATACTATACAATACTGACCCTGGTCATTAGGAAAGTTCGCACGAGATGGACCACATTTTCCCATTTTAACTTTAGAAGATTGTCACAGGAAGAACTTTTAAGATAGGCATATGATATTTCATATATCTATAGTTCAACTAATCTTGTTTCGATTAACAAAAGTTTTGAAGCATTTAGTCGAGGGCAAATTGAGGCTAACGAGTCATTTACATTTTGTCTCCTAATAACACCTTCCAAGCATACTATAAAAGCTTAAACATGTTTAATCGATTCATCAGATCTCACTCTTTCAGAATCCAGAGAGAAGAGGGAAATTTTTTCACTAATTGAGGGAAAAATGAGGCTAACAAGTTATTACTAATTTTTGAATTATTTTTGAATAATAGTGTCTATCAAAGTATCCTCTGACCTAAAATAGATGAGATTGATGCTCTAGATCGAAGGCTTGCCCAACCGACCCCTTGTTTTCTTCTAATGGAGGGTAAAGTGAGGCTAACAGATTATTTTTAATTTTGAAATTATATTTGAATAATAACGTCTATCAAGGTATCCTCTGACCTAAATTACATGAGATGGATGCTCTAAGTTGAAGGCTGGCCCAGCCAACCCCTTTTTTCCTTCTAATGGAGGGGGAAATGAGGCTAACAAGTCATTACTAAGTTGTGAATTATATTTGAATAATAACGTATCCAAGTATCCTCTGACCTAAAATACATGATATGGATTCTTTAGGTTGAAAGCTGGCCCAGCCGACCCCTTTTTTCCTTCTAATGGAGGGGGAAATGAGGCTAACAAATCTTTTCTAATTTTTGAATTATGTTTGAACAATAACGTCCTTTAAACTATCCTTTGCCCTGGTATACATGAGATGGATGCTCTAGGTCGAAGGCTGGCCCACCCATTTCCTTCTAATGGAGGGTAAAATGAGGCTAACAGATCTTTTCTGATTTTTGAATTATGTTTGAACAATAACGTCCTTTAAACTATCCTTTGCCCTGGTATACATTATATGGATACTTTAGGTCGATGGTAGACTCCACCTACCCTTTCTGTCTTTTGATGGAGGGTAAAATAAGGCTAACTATCAAGGTTGTGTTCATTGCATTTCTTGTTCTACTGCTTCTTCGGACTAGCCCTTCAATTTCAAATTGTTTCTGCCTAACCTGTATTCATTTGAGAGGTAAGATTGAGGCTAACTCCTGCTTATTGTAATATTTTATAAGTGATAGTTTTAATGTTGGATGCTTTTATTTTCTTTATATAACTCCACTTTTGACCCTTTTGAAAGCCACTTATTATTTTCAAAATCGCACATTTCAAAACTAATTGCACTGCTTTTTTTGAGCCTTCTCGCCAGTTGTACTACCATGAAGAGGTATTGATTTAAATATTGGAGTTATTCTGCAGCTTGACGTAGAATTTTATTCATTAATGCATTAATCAGCTTACATTAAAGCTTGTGGAAAAATGTATATTTATAATTTGTTTAAAAATATTTCCTTGCGTTTGAGATGTGTCAAGCAAAATAAAGACTTCCCTTGTAAAATTTCTCAAACAGTTCCATTTTTATTATACTTTATAGTTTAGAGTCTAATTTGGCATGATATCAGATCATGTGGTATTACATGGCCCCATGGGTAGCATTGCCAGAGCAATTGGCCAGAGAGCTCCATAGAAGTAAGGGGCCTACTCTAGCCAACAGCTCTAGAATACATTTCCTTCCTCAACTTCATTTTCTTCATCTAACTGCTGCTGCTGCTCAGCAACTACTTGACAGCTGGCACAGTGACGTTTTTCTGCGTAGTGTATCTGTTAGCCTCAATTTTGCCTCAAGGAGGGAAGGTAGCCTCAATCCAACCTCACATAAGTTTCGATAAAGTCTCAATAACCTTCGGGCTACAATTACAAGTTTTATAGTGGGTCTATAACATGTTTCCGTACATTAAAGTTAAAATGCGGTCAAATTCTTTATTAGCCTCATTTTAGCCTCCTACAAGTAGACTCGGCGATTTCTGAAATGTTAAGCTTGAAGAGGATGAATACATTTTTATTGTTGACATATTAGATAGTCACAATACCGAACCATCTCGAAAATATACACAAAAGTATACTTGTTAGCCTCATTTCACCCTCTCAAAAGGTGGTTAGCCTCATTTTCACCTCGAATAATTAAAGCTTAGATCTCGATCAAGTATAATCACTATGGATTATACTTGCAACTTGGATATCATGGACGTAACACGAGAATGTTCTTTTTTGAAAATAATGAGTAAATTCGTTAGCCTCAATTGTCCCTCGCAGTTCAATCACTCCTACTGAGTCTTGTGAGTGAGCTAGGAGGTCGCCGGACATCTCATTTTTAAGCCGTATTAATTTTCTATACGCATACAAAAAATTAAATGCAAAACTAAAACAGAAAAGAAATTACGGATGTTTTACATTTTTTTTCAAAAACGAACTTTTAGGGGTGTTTCTAATGATCAGGGTCTACTATACAATACTATACAATACTATACAATACTATACAATAATATACAATACTATACAATACTATACAATACTATACAATACTATACAATACTACACAATACTATACAATACTATACAATACTATACAATACTATACAATGTTATACAATGCTATACAATACTATACAATACTATACAATACTATACAATACTATACAATACTATACAATACTATACAATACTATACAATACTATACAATACTATACAATACTATACAATACTATACAATACTATACAATACTATACAATACTATACAATACTATACAATACTATACAATACTATACAATACTATACAATACTATACAATACTATACAATACTATACAATACTATACAATACTATACAATACTATACAATACTATACAATACTATACAATACTATACAATACTATACAATACTATACAATACTATACAATACTATACAATACTATACTATACATACTGATGGTTTTTGAGAGTAGCTAGTAAGCTGAGTTAATATGTGCGCGAAGGTAGGTCTCTCTTCAGGGGACTCAAGCCAACATCTCGTCATTAGCTCATACCTGAACAGTATTAATTGGGTAATTAATTAATTGATCAGTTAGTCATTAATAAAGTGATTTATTAGCTATGTGACTTTAACCTTAACATCTTGTATGGACAATTTAAGCGAGACAAATGCAATATTGCGGTATAATAATGATATTATAGGATACAATTAGTCCCATTGCCTAAACAAATTCTCAGATCCTAAAGCAAATACAAAGAATAGTGAGAAAGTAAAGAAGTCTTACAATTCAATGTTACAGGAGGGTGGCTTTTGTAACCGATACCCCGTTCTCACATTCTCCATGGTTTCTGCATTGTTGTACCCAGCGTAGGGCTCGCCCCCTAAGGTACAGATCTCCCATAATGTGATCCCGTACGACCAAACATCGCTTTTGGAGGTGTAAATGTTGCCTCTTAAACTTTCTGGTGCTGTCCATTTTATTGGGATTTCTTTTCCTTCTACTCGTTCATAAAACCCATCTGAGGGAGAGAGATTTATCATTATTTAATATTGAATATTTATCCAGTCTATTCAATAATACGAACCCGAATCGTTCATAATATCTGGAATCAATTTAACCATTGGTAGCCGAGTAAGTTTAAAAACGGATGATCATGAACAAAAGAGAATGTAAGTGTTACAAGCGTTACAAGCGTTACAAACCGTCGCTTATTTCCCTAGCCAGACCAAAGTCTGTTATCTTTAACACGTAATCTCCGCCGTCTCCTGACACTACTACATTCCTTGCGGCCAGATCACGATGTACAATCTTGGACAGAGTTAGTTAAATGTAAAGCCTGTAAAGTATGTAAAGTATGTAAAGTATGTAAAGTATGTAAAGTATGTAAAGTATGTAAAGCATGTAAAGCATGTAAAGTATGTAAAGTATGTAAAGTATGTAAAGCATGTAAAGTATGTAAAGTATGTAAAGTATGTAAAGTATTATTAAAGGTTTATAAAAACTGCTGCTCTAGGCTTGTTAGATGTTTAATCGCTTTTATTGCCAGAATGTATAATACTATTATAATTTTAAATAATATTGGGTTGTTTAAAATATAAACGTTATATCAAGTTACCTGATTTCTGCCTACATAGTCCATCCCATCAGATATTTGCCTGCTAAATTCTATAATATGCTTAGACTCAAACGCTTTTATCGGGTTTTCAATCTGCTCATTAGGCATTAAATAACCATCTGACTTCATCTTTCTTGCTTCCTGAAATGTGTATCATAATTCATAGTTATATTCGAATAACAAGTCGTTCAGAATAACAAGTCGTTCAGATTATCATTTAAAAAAAGTTAGCCAAATTGTATCAAATACCAGTGTTCAAAGCTCACGTGCCACTGTAACAACTGTAACAACTGTAACAACTGTAACAACACGTAACAACTGTAACAACTTACTATAAGAAGCTTATCCAAACTACCGAACGCAGCAAACTCAATGACTAAAGCCAGCTGATCAGGTTCGTCCGTGTAACCGTATATTCGCAGTACGTTACTGTGAGATCTCAACTGCGGGATTATACATTAATAATAAACTCCCAGAATATTGAACCCCGTTTCACTACCCTTACATTTGGATATTCGAAGGAAAAGTTTCGTTATATTAAAGTGACAATTTCACGTTAACCGCACATACCCTCATCATAATGTCACGTTAAAGCGTTAACCGCACATACCCTCATCATAATGTCACGTTAAAGCGTTAACCGCACATACCCTCATCATAATGTCACGTTAAAGCGTTAACCGCACATACCCTCATCATAATGTCACGTTATATTAAAGTGACAATGTCACGTTAACCGCACATACCCTCATCATAATGTCACGTTAAAGCGTTAAACGCACATACCCTCATCATAATGTCACGTTAAAGCGTTAACCGCACATACCCTCATCATAATGTCACGTTAAAGCGTTAACCGCACATACCCTCATCATAATGCCACGTTAAAGCGTTAACCGCACATACCCTCATCATAATGTCACGTTAAAGCGCTAACCGCACATACCCTCATCATAATGTCACGTTATATTAACCGCACATACCCTCATCATAATGTCACGTTAAACCGCACATACCCTCATCATAATGTCACGTTAACCGCACATACCCTCATCATAATGTCACGTTAACCGCACATACCCTCATCATAATGTCACGTTCTATATTAAAGTGAGAATGTCACGTTAACCGCACATACCCTCATCATAATGTCACGTTAACCGCACATACCCTCATCATAATGTCACGTTCTATATTAAAGTGACAATGTCACGTTAACCGCACATACCCTCATCATAATGTCACGTTAAAGCGTTAACCGCACATACCCTCATCATAATGTCACGTTAAAGCGTTAACCGCACATACCCTCATCATAATGTCACTTTAAAGTGTTAACCGCACATACCCTCATCATAATGTCACGTTAAAGCGTTAACCGCACATACCCTCATCATAATGTCACGTTAACCGCACATACCCTCATCATAATGTCACGTTAAAGCGTTAACCGCACATACCCTCATCATAATGTCACGTTAAAGCGTTAACCGCACATACCCTCATCATAATGTCACGTTAAAGCGTTAACCGCACATACCCTCATCATAATGTCACGTTAAAGTGTTAACCGCACATACCCTCATCATAATGTCACGTTAAAGCGTTAACCGCACATACCCTCATCATAATGTCACGTTAAAGCGTTAACCGCACATACCCTCATCATAATGTCACGTTCTCGTCTCAAATCGTCCTCTCTCCTCATCCTGTCTATACAGGGTTTAACCTCTTTAATAGCGATATCAGTTCTCTCACCCGCCCTGGAATACAGCTGGTTAACTGGTGGTGTAAATACATAGTGCTACAATAATAATAATTGACGTGGCATTGGGAGGTAAATAACACGTGACTATAACATGTGTGATGTGACCTCGAAAGTATTCTCTAACATGTGACCTACCTATCTTTAAAGGCAGTACAATTCTCTAACATGTGACCTACATGTGACCTACCTATCTTAAAGGGCAGTACAATTCTCTAACATATGACCAACATGAGACCTACCTATCTTTAAGGGCAGTACAATTCTCTAACATGTGACCTGCCTATCTTTAAGGGCAGTACAATTCCCTAACATGTGACCTACCTATCTTTAAGGGCAGTACAATTCTCTAACAAGTGACCTACATGTGACCTACCTATCTTTAAGGGCAGTACAATTCTCTAACATGTGACCTACCTATCTTTAAGGGCAGTACAGTTTCCTCGTCTGACAATACCGAAGTGACCTCCTCCCAGGGTAACTCCTGGGTTCAGTGTAAAGTACTCCAACTTGTAGGGGTCCATGGGGATCTTTTCTATCTGCGAGTAAGCTCCTGAAACAGTAATATTGTTACTGAAACAGTTGTTACTGTAACAAGACTTAATTGTGTTACACACCTCCTTTTTAAATACTGTTCATAAAATAGTTAAAAAGAGTTGTAATGTAAGTTTTAATTTCTCCCGAAGGTCACTGAAAATTACGCCCTCTTCTGATTTTCAAGTCTTCCCTGTTACCGACCACATCTCTCTCTCACCTGTTCTACAGCACATAGCTTCTCCAAACTTGGTCTGTGGATGTCTTGCCATGGCAACGCACGCGCAAACAATCCATATTATAAGAACGAGAAGTGCTATTCCAATAACAGCCGCTACAATTAGAGTCATTCCAGATGATGTCTTGGCTGAAAAGTGGGAAATAATGTTTTATAGTGTATTTCGATAAAAGTGGTTTGGTATCAAGTTATACATGTCAGTTCAGTAATTACACTTTTCAATACGTTCAGTTCAGTAATTACACTTTTCAATACGTTTGTACTCGCTTATCAGTTACTTATCATTACGTTGATAAGACTTGCTTGTTTAACCGGTGCCGTGGTTGTGTGATGTATAAATCGGAGAAATACGTGGCTTATAAGCTTGATGAAGTGAAAGATGATGCAGCTGAATGGATCCGGAAAACTCTTGGGCTTGCTAAAGTAGATCATGTTAACGCGTGTGCAGCTCAGAGTTTCAGTGGTAAAAGAGAAATCTCCAGGGAAGTCATGGCTCAGAGTCTTAACGCTGCGTTAAAAGTTATGTATAGACAGTCGTTGTACATTAATCAGCTAGAGAAATATAATCAGAAATTGCACTCCGATGTAATTGACAGTCAGGGAACAGTAGTTGTATTGCAGAAAGAGCTGCTAGCTGCCAAAGACAAGCAGCTTGATGACTTGAAATCTGTGGTTGTAGCATCAGTCGAGGATACTGTGAAATCAGAGTTGAAGACATACAGCGCCGCAGTACAGGCATCAAAAACCTCAGCAGCAGGTCCTTTGTTGGATTCGGATAGAAACATTTTGAAGAATGTCATCAAGGATGTTGTGGCAGAAGGAGACCGAAGTCGGAATCTGATGTTATTTGGTATTAAAGAAGAGAAAGGTGAGCTGTTATGCGACAAGGTCGCTCAAGTGTTGTTGGAACTTGGCGAAAAGCCAAAAATAGAAGCTAGCAGAATTGGTTTGAATAAACCCAAGGATAAGAAACAAGTGGCTGACAGACCTGTTAAGGTGACTTTGACGAGCTCCACAATCGTGCAGCAGATTTTGACTAGAGCAAGGCATCTCCGTAGCTCAGAACTTTTCAGTAAAGTCTTTATCAGTCCAGATAGGTCTCCAGAGGAACGTGCCGAACAGCAAAAGCTTGTTTTAGAACTCAAGAAGAGATCAAACGACGAGCCAGATAAGAGACACTACATAAAAGGAGGCAAAGTGTGTAGTGTGGACAAAATTGTTGTTTGAAATGTGTTAAGACAGAGTTTTGCTTGGATTTATGGATTCCTGGTTGGCTAAGATTTTAATTTTTTTTGATAAGCTTCTAAATCATATTCGTCTTTCAACACAAGACTGTCAGTCTTCTAGAATTTTGTTTTGATTTGTGTATTAAGCTGATGTATTTAATCTTACTTCCAGGTCCATAATTTCGTGTGGAGTATATTTTTAGAGTTATTTAGGTTTTATATTAGCAGATTTAGGAATATAATTATTGTATATTATTGTATGTATAAATTCTTGAGTAAACATTAACCAGTAAACAAAGCTGGTTCCCAAACAAACAAACATACATTCTTAATTGTAATATTTGAAAGTAGATGTAAGTGTGACTTTTATCTTTTTACAATCTTGTATTATGGATACAATAAATAAAATAGTTTTTAAATGTTATTAACTCTACAACTTACGCCAGGCGAGTTCTGTGATAGGAGAAGTTCGGTTTCTTGGTTCTATTAGGCTGTTGGAGGCTGTACATTTCGCTTTCTTCAGATTATCTTTCAATGAAGCGGACAAAACTACTTCGTTCTAGAATAATGAAAATGATTAATTTAGTTGTTTGCTAAAAAGCCGTAAAAAGTATTCATCAGAAAATATGCAAATACTAAGGATATTTATAATAGTTTCCCTCTACAGTCTACAATAAACAGTTGGACTGAAAAATGGGTGAAAACTAGTCAATACGATAAATTAAATTGTAATGTTTCTGTTTCTGTTTCTGTTTCTGTTTCTGTTTCTGTTTCTGTTTCTGTTTCTGTTTCTGTTTCTGTTTATGTTTCTGTTTCTTTATCTGTACTTACTTCTTCCTTTTCATCTGTCCTCACATCATAAGTGCCTATAACCGTCGTCGCCTTCTTTTTATCGATAGCAGTTATAGTAACACTTTCTATTGGGTAACCTTTGACAGTGCAGGTTACACTATTAAAATCAGGGGCTTGCTGCAGTTTCGGAAAATCCAGAAAGGGGGCCACAGCTGAAAGACGTGTGTTACTTATGTAAGAAATTAAACATCCGCCAACGGTGCATACACTTCCAAGAAAAACGTTACTTTATACGTTTAAAACAAAAAATAAAAAAACAACGTTTCAGGCGAAGTTGAAATAAAGACACACTAAATGCTAATTGAACTCAAGTAATTACGTTACTTACCTTTGATAGTTATGGTATACTCCTTCTGAACATTTCTCTTCCTGGAGTCATCGCCTCCCATACTGACTGTCACAATAATCTGCTCATCATTAATGAAACCCACGTAAACTTGGGATTCTATGGTAACTTTATCGTAGGGATCGTAACTGAAATGGTTATCTTGTGATGAAAAATTGCAGCTAAACGTTTCTTGATTATTTGATCAATAAAGCAAGGTTGAATCAAATCCCTGGAAGTACCGTGTTCAATATCTTCTTCTGCCTTTTGTGAATATAAAACCATTGGCTGGAATGAAACCAAATTGGAGCCTGTAAAACAGCTATTAATGTCAATAATTATAGTTCCCAAACTAGGCTATCCATTATCGGTATGAAATCTTTTATCTAGATAAACAGATAAAGATTTAGGTTTTATCTAGATAAAACCGATAAAACCGATAATTTTTCTGCTGAAGGCCAAAGCCTAAATGTTTTCCAAATTTCGCAAAAACTAATAGTCGACTTTTATTACTGTTTACCAGTAACCTTACTAAAGTACCACTTCCTTTCTTTTGAAAATATTAGAGCATCAGTTTTCTTCTCCAAGGAGCAGAAGTGCACCAGTTTTCTTCAAAACAGTAGACCAACGGTTTTCTTCTAAGAACAGTAGTGTACCAGTTCTATTCAAAACAGTAGACCAAGGGTTTCCTTCTCCTGAGAACAGTAGTGTACTACCAGTTCTCTTCAAAACAGTAGACCAAGGGTTTCCTTCTCCTGAGAACAGTAGTGTACTACCAGTTCTCTTCAAAACAGTAGACCAACGGTTTCCTTCTCCTGATAACATGAACAGTAGTGCACCAGTTCTCTTCAAAACAGTAGACCAACGGTTTCCTTCTCCTAAGAACAGTAGTGCACCAGTTCTCTTCAAAACAGTAGACCAACGGTTTCCTTCCCCTGAGAACAGTAGTGCACCTGTTCTCTTCAAAACAGTAGACCAAGGGTTTCCTTCTCCTGAGAACAGTAGTGCACCTGTTCTCTTCAAAACAGTAGACCAACGGTTTCCTTCTCCTGAGAACAGTAGTATACTACCAGTTCTCTTCAAAACAGTAGACCAACGGTTTTCTTCTCCTGAGAACAGTATAAACGCACTAGTTCTCTTCAAAACAGTAGACCAGTGACCACCGGTTTTCTTCTTTTGAGAGAAGTAACGCACTAGTTCTCTTCAAAACAGTAGACCACCGGTTTTCTTCTCCTGAGAACAGTAACGCAATAGTTCTCTTCAAAACAGTAGACCACCGGTTTTCTTCTCCTGAGAACAGTTATAGTGCACCAGTTCTCTTTAAAACAGTAGACTAAGGGTTTCCTTCTCCTGAGAACAGTAGTGCACCTTTTCTCTTCAAACAGTAGACCAAGGGTTTCCTTCTCCTGAGAACAGTAGTGCACCAAATACCAATCCTTCTCGAAACAGTAAAGCATTTAAAGTGATTCAGTGAACCATTTTCTTATCCTGTTGATAACTTGGAGCAACAGATTCCTTCTCCTGAAGACAATGTTTCACTCCCAGAACACTTACGGAATTCAATTGAGTGCCCTGCCGGTATTTCTTGACTCTTGTTAACAGTAACATGCTCGTTCCCGTCTCCAGAATGATTATAAGGTAAAACGCCAGCACCCTCAAGAGAACAATGTCGATAACCTTCTCTGGATTTCAACAGTTCATACAGTTCTACAGTTCCAAAGGTATACAAATGTAAATAAACCTCTTAAGCTCACATCTAAGTAAACTACCTCTTCTATCATACTAGAAGACGTTTGGGACTGTTTCTTGGATAATTGGGAAGGCAAAAACACTAATATTTCTTTACAATTTTACGGTATTGTGGCAGTATTTTCGGTAATATCTAGTGAAATTTTATACCGATAAAAATATGTTTTATCTAGATAAACAGATAACTTTTTTAAACGAATTATCGGAGATAATTATCGGTTACGATTATCGGAGTGGATAGCCTATCCCAAACACGAACCTATATTTAAAGGATGGGTTCAAGGATTTGTAATCATCGCTAGTATTGAGAATAGTCTCCCCCACGTAAGTTTCACTGCACTCACGATTACTGAACAGCATTGATCCAGAGCTGGTTCCGGTTGTTGCATCCCCTGGTTACGAGAAATTGTGTCAGGCAAAGCAGTTTTAGGAGTTAGATAGTTATTCGATTATATGACAGGACATTTATAAAATGATGTTGGCGATGATAGAATGCAATAAAATATAATATGATGATTATGTGTAATCATAAATTAAATAGTTTATTTAATGAAAACTTACATGATATCTTCTCATGCGGGAAGACGACCCCCATGGCGACCAAGCCTACGCAGCTGCCTTTTACTACGGTCAGCTCTTTCTCCAGCTGATTGGTGATCTGATAAGCGGTAACATTCGTACCCCCTTCTGTATAAGCATTCCGCGAAGGTCTGAAAAAGAGGGACATACTGATACTGTGAGGGAGGGGGGGGGGGGGTGTGGGGCCTGATACTGTGAGGGAGGGGGGGGGGGGGGTGGGGCCTGATACTGTGAGGGAGGGGGGGGGGGGTGGTGTGGGGCCTGATACTGTGAGGAGGGGGAGGGGGGGTGGGGCCTGATACTGCGAGGGAGGGGGAGGGGGTGGGGCCTGATACTGTGAGGGAGGGGGAGGGGGGGGGTGGGGGCCTGATACTGTGAGGGAGGGGGGGGGTGGGGCCTGATACTGTGAGGGAGGGGGAGGGAGGGGGGTGTGGGGCCTGATACTGTGAGGGAGGGGGGGGTGTGGGGCCTGATACTGTGAGGGAGGGGGGGGGGGGGGTGGGGCCTGATACTGTGAGGGAGGGGGAGGGGGGGTGGGGCCTGATACTGTGAGGGAGGGGGGGGGGGGCCTGATACTGCGAGGGAGGGGGGGGGGTGGGTTGGGCCTGATACTGTGAGGGAGGGGGAGGGGGGGTGGGGCCTGATACTGTGAGGGAGGGGGGGTGTGGGGCCTGATACTGTGAGGGAGGGGGAGGGGGTGGGGGTGTGTGGGAATTGGGTCCAATTGGGTTCAGTTGGGGGGGGGGGCCAATGGCATAAAATGGCATAAAATGGCATAAAATGGAGACTTTTTCTATGGAGAAAATGGAAAAACCCATGAGTAATTCTCCATTTTCTCCATTTTATGCCATGAATTTTGTCTTCGAAATTTCATCTTTAACACCATTTAACACCTAAATTGGACATCCTAACATGTTTATTTACGCTTACTAGGGGCGTAACAAGCTTATGAAAGCTCATAGTAGGCTACTAAATGCTTATACTAGGTTAGTAGAGGCACACTTCAGGCAAACTCATAATTACTCAAGCCTAGTGTAAAGTTATTTCTACAGGCTACAGCAGGAGTGAGTAATAGGGGAGAGTAATAGGCACTGAGAAGTGAGACCTACATCCTCGACAGTCGAAACAAGCTCGCACTGCAAAGGGGAGGCCTGCCTTCCGAGATCACATTACCAGGGGGAAGCCTCGAGTCCAAATTTGTGTATCGAGGGGTAGGTGCAGACTTCGATAAACCGAAAAACCAAAAAAATATTTTCGGCTTATAATGAAGAGGGTAGCATGAAACGTGGATAAAAGTTGTTTTTAGAAAAACTTTGAAAAATTTTGACTTAGAAAATTTTCGGCCCGAGTCATTTTCGATACGTACCTCTCGTATCGAGAGCTCCCGATTCCGAGCTCGTGTTGCAAAGGGGAGGCCTGCCTTCCGAGATCGCATTACCAGGGGGAAGCCTCGAGTTCAAAATTGTGTACCGAGGGGTAATTTCTAAGTCAAAATTTTTCAAAGTTTTTCTGAAAAACACTTTTCTCTACGTTTCATGCTACTCTGTTTATTATTGGCCGAATATATTTTATCGGTTTTTCGAAGTCCACACCTTCCCCTCGATACACAATTTTGGACTCGAGGTAATGCGATCTCGGAAGGCAGGCCTCCCCTTTGCAACACGAGCTGGGAATCGGGAGCTCTCGATACGGGAGGTACGTATCGTAAATGACTCGGACCGAACATTTTCTAAGTCAACATTTTTCAAAGTTTTTCTGAAAACCACTTTTCTCCATGTTTCATGATACTCTGTTCATTATTGGCCGAAAATATCTTTTTTTTAAATAATTTTTCTCGAAATTCTAAATTTTTCAGGTTTTCAATGGCATAAAATGGCATAAAATGGCATAAAATGGAGACTATTTCTATGGAGAAAATGGAAAAACCTATGAGTAATTCTCCATTTTCTCCATTTATGCCATTGGCCCCCCCCCCCCCCCGTTCAGTTGTCGGTCACTGAACTCACCTTATGAGTGGGGCCAGGTCTTTCTGAATGAGGCTGGGTATAAAGCTTTCTGTTCTCGTTAGATCGATAGTCAACTGTTTATGAAAGAAATCTGGAGATATCTGGAAACCTGACGTTGAAGATAATCAGTATTATAATTTATATCGTTTGTGTAATGTTGACTGTTAGAATTTATTGAGAACATAAAAAGACACTGATAAGGTGTTATCTTCAGCTGTTAACGTTCTGACTTCTGTGAACTTTATTACCAGTATAATAATATAGGTCGGGGCTAAAAGTTTGCGGTCGAATTGTACGGATCTAACTTATGAATCATGACTACATTTTTACACAGCTGTGTCAAGTGATTTGTTCGATCACAACTGCCAATACCTTAGTAATAGTTGCAACTATATGTATAATAATGCTCATACATAATGACATTTGTTAGCTTACCCATCTTGTAGTTTCTGTGTTTTACAACCGGATACCGGGGTTGCTTATCTCCAGTTCCTATCTCATAAGTGTACGTGCCCACAAAACACTGACAATAATTCACAGTGAGTAATTTAGTTATAAATTAGTAATTTGTCTAATGTCTTACTCTATAATATCTAATCGAATATAATAGCCTAAATAATTGTTTGGTTATGTTAAAAATAATACTGACCTGATAATAACCAACAGTTTCCTGAAACCAGGTGTAACGCTTTACATCATCACCAGCCTCGTCGTCGTACAGGGGTCTTATTGCTAGGTCTTTTATTGCTTCTCTTTCAGCGTTTCCAGGTTGAACAACTTGAAGATCATCGGGTTGAACAATTTCACCTGTGACAAGGATATATTTAAGCACTTTGAATGTATTATTATTTTTGCTGATTAAAGATAATAACGTTTTTAATCTATGCAATATCCATGACCTGGATCCTTGAGAAAATGAGATAAATCTACGATTTTATAAAATTGGTTAGATGTTAAACTAACCGTTAAACCAGAGATAAGTATTTGAGTAGAGGTTTCCCTGAGTCTTGCAACAGAGATGCCGAGATTTCTGAGAAAGAATCGTGTTACAAACTTGCAAATGGGAAAAGTGAGAGCGTTTAAGGAATGTCCAAAATGATGAATTTGAACACAAAATGAGCACGCGCCCTACAAGGCAACCCAAAGTTGCTGATAACAATCAGAAATAAATTTCATCTCGACGATTCATTCGGAGTTTGGACATTCCTAAAACGTTGATAACGGAGCTTAAAATGGTAAGTAAAGAACCAGGCACAGTTGCATGAAAATGAAAAGATATTATCTAGTAAACACAACAGATCCACAAATAATATATACAATTTGGAACTATGGAACATGTTTTATTGAATCTTGTCTTTATATTTGTCATAATAAAGATGGGGTTGAATGCCTACTATTACTACTGTAGATTATCTCTCGCTTAAAATGAGGATCTGTTGTGTTTACGACATGCATAAGTTGCACGTGCAATTTCAAGCAATGTTATAGTCGATTAGTCTAGAATAATATTATGTATTAGTAAGTTATTAAAGCGATTAAAAACGTGCAGCAAAAAATAAGTTCATGAACAACATTCTGCATTCACAAAATCAGTGAGATTAAAACAACGATTAATTAAACTCAACAGAGTTAATATTAGCAACAAATTTATAATGGCAATGATGGTGGGCTAATAGCCCTATAATTGGCTGATAGCCATACTTTGAGAATCCAAGATGAGGTGGGAACTTCACATTCAGATCAGATACAACTGCAGTTTATTATAGGCATTCTTCGAATAGTATACGTGCTAGCAAAACCTTCTCCTAAATCTAGACTATGAAAGATAAGAAATAATTGAAAATTCGAAGTGTCAAAAACACTTGATTTTTATCTGTAACGTGTAATGGGTATGTTCTCCTGGAATCCACTGATTATATTGTAGAGTATTTCCAACGAAAATATGTCAACAGCTCACCAAAAAAAGAGCACTTAACAGTAATAAATCATCGGTTCTATGAACGCAGAAAAAATATAATGAGAGTTTGAGCTATCATGAACACAATTTAAACTCAGACTATTGTTTTGATTATACACTGCTACCCTAAAGTACCAAGTTCACCGAGATAAAAAGATATCAATAAAAGATGTATACAAAACTAACCGTGGCTGAAGATAAAAGAAGGGGGGCAATGTCCTGGCGACATTATCTACATTCTACATGATTTATTCGGCACAACATAGAAAAGAAGTGAGCTTTATTATATGAAGAATTTGCTTTACATGAAACAATTATTATTCATTATTCGTGCCTGCAGTGGGGTGTGAAGAGTTGCAAAGTACCAGATTGGCTATTGATCAATCAACGAAAAGTGCAGAATAGTGTGTGTTAAACATTGTATTATACATAATTATAGTAATTATGTGCAATATCTGAGTGGTGGTGAACAAATACTTTAAGTGTGTACATATTTACTCACATATACAGCACATTGCTCATTGCCGTTTCAAAATCTCATCCCTCGGAAAGGATAACTTTTTCTTAGAAAAAAAATAGAGCCATCAAATGTAAATTAAAATTTAGACTTCGATTGTAAAGTTTAATTGGTTGGCTCCAACACAATAATTTACTAATTTAGCTAAGGTTTAAACAGGATTACAAAGGATAAGGTAAGACTGTCCCGTTTGTTTCCCTTATCCCTGCCTTCTGTCACAATAACGGAGCATGAAGAATAATCCCGTACAACTATACTTTTGGGAACAAACTTCCTCAGACTTTAGAAATATGCAAGTTCGATTAAAAAAGTTGCAAACCACAGAGCACTCTAGCAAACAGTCATTCCTTTTTTTAGGTCGAAAAAATTCCGCAAAACTCCAAAACCTGAAACTTCCGAAAACAGCCTGGCGAGAGAAACGGCAAAAAGCAAGCCTACTTACGCGTCCCACCGTAAGAGGTCCGAAGTAAGACTCCGGGCTTGATTGGTCGAAGGAGAGACAGTTTAGCCGAAGGACAGTAATGTCGGAAGGAAACAGGGGCAGTCCTGCGGAGGGATAATGTTATTTATAACTGTACTATTTGTTAGAAGCAGTAGTGTAATCACTAATATCCCGATAGAAGCACTAGTCACTAGTCACCCACCTTTAACTTACACCCAGCTCCTGTGTATGGTATGATTTTATAATAATTTTAATTATTGTTGTTTGTAGATTTTCATTGAGCTTGTACTCAACCTAAAATCGCTGCTTTTGTCTTAAATCGTATTGTGCTCGGGATTTTTGGTTTAAATCAGTAAAAGAACTAATCTGATGGAGTAAATAATGAGAGATCATTCAGTTCCGAAATCAACCCCACATGATTTCATTACACATGGACAGAATTTAATGCATTTCTCATCAGTACTGAGATCAAACTAATTTAAAGATCACTACAGCCTACACCGTCACTAGCGAGTGACTTATGTAAGGTATTCATCTGAGGGTGGTGAGTCACAACTCATGTCAGCAACCTGACGATAAGGTCACATCTTCACAGACTTAAGACTAATTGCCGTTAGAAACATACCAATCATATTTTATACCGTTTTGATAATGAAACACCCCTCAGATAAGCACAAGTATACTCCCGCTCAGATATCGGGGCCAGGAAGATATTATTTACCCACCCTGAAATTAAATTCTCACGGACGGATACGTGATGCGCGCTTTTTTGATGACATTTTGCTCCGCGCCTTACAAACTCTCAATCCTTCAGTGTGACCGTCCGCCATAAGACCATTTTGAGTAGCAATTATTGGCGACCATGTTATCGTAATTTTAGAAGTTTGAAAATTACAGTAAAATGAATATGGCGCAACCAATTTATTTAAGAGGGGCAGTGACAACAGCCAAGAATGTACTTTAGTATACGGAATACACGGCCGATTTCCTTCTTAATTCCTTTTTCTGTTTTTATTTTTTAACACCTGCCGTCTGCCCCCGTTGACACATCATGTAGTCTTATAAAATCACATACCTAGGAAAAAGATGTTGTCGGGTCCAATCTCTTTATTGGCGTCACCCTCACAACCAACGTTTATATCCAAATCCGTGGCTGAAATAAAATAAAGAAGATAAGCTCATGACGTGACCAAGTTCTACTAATTTTTTCTAAAAAAGTCAACCTAAAAGTGTCATATTCTAAGTTTCAGATTTTTCAACACATTGAAACTTACTTCCAGTATAGCTGCTGTTGATGTGGTAGTATGATCTTGATAAGCTCAATTCTACAAATGCATTCTTCTCTCGTAGATCTCCTGGACAAAATGAATTAATTAGTTACTGCATTATTAGTTACTGATTCCGAAGTAAAATGTAAGCATAAATAAAATGTAATGTTAAGATCTAATCCAGTGAACACTTGGTCAGGTCTCAGTTCCTCGTTCTACAATCTCACTGTAATTCATTTGGTTTAATTATAATTAACAAAAAAAACCTAAAAATATTAAATTCACTTACCGGAGGAGTACTTGTTCATGAATCTGTACTTCAACGTATAACTTTGATACTCGATTTCTTTGTAAGTGTCGGAGAATTCCCCGTTGAAACTGAGAACTTGTTCCTCTCCGCCGTCAAAGTGAACTCTGTAGACGAAGCTCTCTGTAAAAGTGAACAAACATTAAATCATTGAATTGGTGGGTACAATTTCACGCCATATTAGTAAGAAACCGTGCAGGGGTTTCATCACTTATGCTGTGAAGGTTTATTAAAGTCATAATGCAAGGATATATTATCATGGTAATGAATTAGAGTACATTTTCTAAAACAGATGTATAATTAGACATAAGTTGAGAGATAAGAGTTGTAATAAATAACGGTAAAAGGTTTGCCATGCCAATAAACATGGTGCACGCTTTCGACCTTCAAATAAGTAAATAAACTTCAGCTATTCTGATATAAGCTATAAGCCATGACTAACTCAATGTAGAGTAAGAGGTTAAACATTCTTACCACAAGATCCAAGAACGAAGTAAGAGAAGGGCTTCTCAAATTCCTCCTTACTTTGGTCTAAATCCGGCCGGAATATTGTACTGACCAACTCCTTCACATAAGGTCCTGAGGAAACACAATTTAGAGGAAACACAATTTAGAGGCTATTTTAGAGAGGCAATTTAAAGTCTATACGGAGGGGGGGGGGGGGGGGGGCTGCAGTACTTTTTTGATGGAACATATGCTGACTTTTCGAAATTTCTGAAAATAACCACCCACCCACCTCCTTCACGAATGGAATAACAAAAAAGTACCACGGTACTTTTCGAAATTTTCCCGAATGACCCCCACCCCCTCCTTTTTTTCAAAAAAATTCCTGTTCATCAGTTTTCCTAAACTGAAGATGTTCTGACACCTCGATGTGACTTAACGTAAGGTCCTGAGGATACAAAATTTAGAGGCTTCTTTAGAGCAGGGTTGTGATTTAAGGTTCTCTCTTTTTTAAAGGTTTAAAGGTTTTATTTCGGTGTTTTTAAAGGTTTTTTCAGTGTTTCCTGCGGTTTTTAAGGTAATTTTTTCAAGTTTTCTTGAAAAAAGGTCACAGTTATTTTTTCCAATCCGAGGTAACCTTAACATAAGGACCTGAGGATACACAATTTAGAGGCTACTTTAGAGAGCCAATTTAGATTCTATACTCTATTATTTTTAAATCAAAGGTCAATGAAATATTCTGATAGGTTTGGATGTAAAGTCGTGAAATTTACACTGTTGAAATGAAATGAAATGACAGAAACCAACCTGAAACGGTCCAAGTTCTTTGTAATTTGTTATTTTCTTCTCCCTCATAGTAAACGGAGACGGTGAAATGTTTAGAAACCCCTTGTTCGTAGTCAGTATCGCCGAACAGAGAAATATACATCATTTGTTTCGCGCGAATGTCCAGGTACCTGGGTGTAATTTATTAAGTTAATTAAATGAAAAGTGTTTATCAAACGTTTATATGGAGATTAATCGATTATTTAATCAAATTGTATAATGTATATCTTTAAAGCTGGCTGAGAAGGTCTTATGATTTATCTAATCTATTTCGTTGCGATCTAACTTTCCGAATAACTCTTACTTCACTCACAGTTTACACTTAAAAAATAATGTATTTAAATGTTGAAAAATCCAAACACAATTAAATATTTTAGCTCATAACTCACTGCAAAATGGTATCATCAGTTTCCACAGTGACTATCAACTCCCTCTTAGGGTTGACTGACTTTACTTTATAGCTTATATCTACATAGTTCTTTGTAACGTAATCTTCTATCATTTTAGCCTTGTGTTTATCGTGGAAAGCATCATCATCTTCAAACTCTAGCTGTTCAGCTGAAATAGTGAAATAGTGAAATAGTGATGGTGGGGGGGGGGGGGGGGCATATGACCAAAACACGTCAGACACTGCAAAACGAAAGTCTTGATTGGCTTATCTTTCCGTAGACACAAGTAAATAGCATTTAAAGAGGCACCCATTAAAGTCATTAAGAATCAGACTCATTTTTTTAAATGTTTGCTAATGACTACGAAACGCTGCTCAATTCTTTGTGTCAAACATTTGTTCAGACCGAACAATTATTTTCATTGTAAATCGTATAGCTGAAAGGAACAATCAGCATTATGGGTATTTTACACAAAGGAGTGCGAGCAGCTAGCAAAACAGCTTTGTGACCAATGCAGGTGATACTTACCCTATCAGTTCACGTTAAAGTATAAGTAAAAAATACATTGCCAGGCGTAGAGGAAGTATTTTTATTTAAATATCCAGGAAAGTTCAAATAAAATAACAATAAAAGTTACATCTTAGATGTTACTTGGAGTAAAAACTGTAAAAAGTATTGTAAAGCAATATAAAATATAATGAAGAACTTACAGTAAACTTTGACAACAATCGGTTCTGATATCCTCCCGATAGAGAGAGCCTGAGCATTGTTTACACCAGCAGGTGCTAAAGTGTTAGCGGTTACGCGGCACGCGTACGCGCCTTCCCTCTTCGCTGTCCCATCCTTGATTTCAAGATGCCCAAAAACTCTATTCCTTGCTTCTCTGACTTCCTGCGTCACGTCGTAGTCTTCGTTGTTCTGTGAAATTAAGTAAGGTGAATGTTCCCGAAACTAAATTCTAGAAAAGATTAAAAATTCGAAAGTTTAACTGAATTTGATATCTCCCACACGTGTTTGACCCCTAAAATTGTTTTATCACCTAATAGAAATTTTGATTGAAAGCGTCACGTAGGGCTAACTAGCTGACCTAGAAATTTTAAAAGTTCCATACACTTAAAAGAAAGTTAGAGTATCTCAGCAATCTGACGGTGAAGACCCAGATTCAGATCCCGGTGTTTAACTGAGATTGTGCAGTCATTAGAATCTTAGCAGCTTCGTTGTTGATAGTCGAGGTGAGTATTAGACAGGAATCACATGTCACGTGTCATACGGTTACTAAAACTCTTTAACAGTCTACAGTAGTCTACTACTACTTTGTGATAAACATGTTATAAAGATGAATCAATTTTGACTTTTTATCAACATTTTCTCAAAGGAATAATAACGTCAATGTTGTCTGGTTTCTAAGCTATCCGGAAACAGGCCCATCATGGGTTCCCGTATTTAGGACTGTTATTATTAATAGGTTTATTTATTTTAGCTGAGTTACCATACTTAATAATGTCTTAATAACACTTAGTAACATCGTCAGAAAGAAGCACTGTGGCACACTGTTAGCAAGAATCAGTGTCACATAAGACATACAGTCCACGGTGTTCACATAGTGTGAACTTATTAACGAAAACTTTTTCTCGAGTACGACAAAGAGCACCGGCGAAAGTATGAACTATTAATACCCTCGGAAAAAAAGCAAGGTGAAAAACTAATACGGCATCCCTCCTACTTACTTGGAAGCCAATTTATAACATCTTTATGTCCCTCATGTGTAAAGCATATTAATATGTGATTATGTGAGTAGGATGTGTAAGCAAGTACAGGTTCCTTGACTAGACTAATGTGCTATAAGAACGGGTTCAGATTAGAGGGAACTGTAATTATACCCTGAGGGGGTGTTTTAGACTGATCTCTCTCAACTAACTGTGTCCAAATCTCTATCATCTGTTTCCTAATGTCAGTGGTAATTTAGTTGAGATGTTGTAGAAAATGGAAGTAGTTTGAAGGAAGCCGGAACAGGGGGAATTTCGCCTCTTGGGACTGGTTGAAGTATGCTGTAACACAGTAGTAGTAGCCATACAGTGCTCTAATAGAGTCGCTACTAAACGACACGAAGTAGTGATATGTCGGTGACATAGTAGCTCAAAGTGATACTGTAGTGAAGATATTGTAGCTGATCATATTGTGAACTTGTTGTGGTAAGACTAGAAACAGGTGCAGTATCAATGGAGGGAGAGTGTTTTGCCAACCTGCCTGTATACAAAAGGTTAAGTTATTTGGGGCTAAACATGTCACTTGGGGCTAAACATGCAGTAGTTGGGAGGGGGTGCAGTAGTTGGGGGGGGGGGGGGCAGTAGTTGGGGGTGCAGTAGTTGGGGGGTGCAGTAGTTGGGGGGGGGGGGCAGTAGTTGGGGGGGGGGGGGGGTGCAGTAGTTGGGGGGGTGCAGTAGTTGGGGGGTGCAGTAGTTGGGGGGGGGGGGGTGCAGTAGTTGGGTAATCTAATTAGTTATGTGAAGTATGTTAGACCTGATACTCTGTCTAAACCTCATTAAGGTTCAAGTAGGAAGTTATTACTTGGACACTAGTATTAGAAACTGGTGTGAAGATCGTGAAGATGTATCTTTACTGATACTAGAGATAAAATATCATTGTATACGCAGTAAGCGGCTAGTTTGTTGTATGCCAGTTGATTTTACTAGGTACTCAAGTACAATGTTATCAATTATCTCCTGATTATAAGGCCTGATTAAAGGTTAAGTGTTTCCAAATTGATAAGTTTTATCGCAAAATGTAACATTCACCTGCCAGGAATTCAGATCACATTGCATTACCAAAAATGATCTGTATAAAAATGTATTATCGTGTATTATTGCAAAATTAGTGTCATATTACTCAAAATACCTTTTTGACCGCCCCTTTTTTTCTTGTTACTGACAGCTGTACTAGGAGTAATTTTCTTCACCTACTTAACTTTCAACAATTGATGCATTGATGTACGAAAGATAAATTTAAACAATGAGTTTAGTAACTTAACCCTGTTTATTGGAACGTGTCTTCCTTTGACAAGAAAGTTAATGTTATTTGACGACGGATCCATGTTATTCCTAGCCTTACCTTGACAAACGTGCCGATACATCGGTTTATTTCTATACCACTTTTAAATTTGTCTATTGTATAATATTAGTTTTTGTATATCCAGTTACTTCAGAATTTATAATTATTATTATTAGTTGCTTATGAGAGACATGAAGTGAGCGATGAACATTGCTTAACATATTGTACTTAATACTTATCTCAGTTATACAGTCAGTACGTCTTGTCATGAAACAATTTGTATTACTTTCTCCTTTTGGAACTCGGATGAGTGTTGGTATTTGGAACATATTTGCAAAATGTTATCGTCATGTTGACTCAGTAACAGGTGCGGGATATTTTAAACTGTGCAAAATATTAGAAACAGCTTAGTAACAGCTTAGTAACGGATTAGTTAATAGTTATAGCTAAGTAACAACTCAGTAAGCTTAGCTTAGCAACGACTTAGTAGCATCAGTCCTGGTAACCTCAAAATACAACTAGGTCGGAACTAAATCCGATCTACAATAGATACCCCTTCACCAGGGTTCACAGTTCCTCTTTAGAATTTGTCCCAACTTTGCTCAGTAACATAGACACACATCTCTGTCTAAGCTATGTAATAGTAAAATCCACTCATAATATTCTCAAGCTGATAGACACGGAGCTGGGGTGAAATGTCAGAATCTCAGTTAACATGGTAAGCACTTGCATTAACCCCACCAGATGGTAGGGTCGCGACGGCACTAAAATCAGATATCCCATATCCTGAGTCTGCTAATTTTGATTGCAAGCCGAATATTTCGCATTCCAGTGCTCCAAAACACGCACAGTGGACAGTATTTAATGTACATTTAACATACTTGATAACACAGATTTAACACTTTTAATACATGTTGTAAAACAACATTTACCTGACCAAGGTGAAGGTAAGATATCTGACCACACCGACCCACATACTTCATGATATATTCAATATATTAATCCTACTAACCATATTCCACACCATGTAATAATGAATATAATATTGTAATTATAAATAATATTCAGTAGTTATAATATAATACATCAGCTATACGTTAGCTCGTTAAAATATAAAACTCACTTCACCCAGGACTAGATCCAGAAATAGCGTCAGACATGTGTAACGTGCACGAGTCTGCTATTTTGGTAGTAAAAAATGCTGGTATCCCGTCGGCATGGTAAAGTGACAAGTTGCATAATTGGACAGTGACAAGGCTTGAGATTAAAACGTTTTTATTGGCTGGAAAAATAGAAAATATCGTTAGTTTTAATTGGGAGTTGGGTTCACAGTTTTGAGTTTTCGAAGAAAGCCTATAATTAAACTTGAATTTTCACATATAAAGCCTGAAAGTGAAAATATTTGGGATCCCGCTAGAAATACCCCATAATTTCCTGAAGGAAACTTGACATTTCCCGCCTCTGGCCATATCCCAACTCATGTTTAACACCCCACCAAAACAGATAATAAACCCAGTTTCCGTGTTTCAGTAAACATTTGCGGAAAAAAGTAGCCGACAAGATTTTAGATTCGAAAGAAGGCCTATTATATCTAAGCTTGAGTTTTCACATTAAGCTTATAATATTAAGGCTTGATAAAGAAAATATTTGGAGATACAATTTCAACTCTCTATCTCTCTCTCTGACACTAGTTTAAAGGTTTAACAGTCTCCCACATCAGTTGGGAGGGGATAAGTTGTCCGGAGTGAGCCGACCAGTGTAATGCACGTGTAACCATGTGTGTGCGCGATAACAAGACCATATTCAATTTGCACTTCTGACTTGACCAGCCCTTTACCACTAATCACACCCCTAGGATATCCCTTTGACAAAACACGGCTGTGAATTTAGAAAGCTGTGAAACCAGCCAAAAAATATGTATTAATAGATAGGGGTCTAGATGGAGCTCTTCAAAAGAAAGCGCGGGAAAGTTTGGCTGCGCATCATGGGTTAACCAGGTGGTGTGCCAGCCCCACTTCATAGCTCACTACCACCACCGGAAACTACGTTGTCAAAACCTGTCATTTTCAGAGGGATAATTATCGGAATTCGCCCAGCACGAATAGGTTAGCTTCTGCAGATTTAAAGGATATTTTACTGGTATGGGTTTCTATTTTCTCTTTGTCCTGCGGAGATACTGCCGGGGAGCTACTGAGGAGTTATAGTTTCCTCCGGGATGCATGTGCCTGATAGCTTGCATATAATCATCTCCTGATAACACTGATAATATCACCTGATCTGGCTGGAATTTTAAATATTTAATATCTGGAGTTTTGCTAGGTTTATGTTCAGATGTTAATGTTTAGTAAGATAAAGTAGATCAGTTCATTACAAAGAAGTAATTGCTCAAGAGCTGTATAAAATTCAGAATGAGGATTGAGGATACTTGAACACCTAGATACATTGCCAATATACACTCTCAGGTAAACTTTGATGGCATTTTTTGTACATATTTGAACATGATAACAAGGACAACAGCTTTATCGCGATGACATATCTCATGAGATCAAAATGTGGCGGAGGTATATCTAATGGGCGTATTTTCTACAGGCAAGAAACAGGGGAGTGTTACTATGTAAGAATGAATACAACATAGTTGTAATCTTGATTAGGTCAAGCATCAACATTTTTATATGAACAGAAAATAAAAGAACGGAATGCGCGGATGAACCTGATTCCGATTTCCGGTCGGATCCCCAGCTTCTATATCCGGTTCCTGTTTCAAGGTCAATTAACCGGATATCAACCGGAAATGTCGAATTTGTATTATTCACACCTTTTGGCAACTTTTGGTACCAAATTTATAAAAATCAGAGAATTCTGCGCCTGTC